ATTGGAGAATTTTAATGTTTTTCATTTATCATTGTAAAATCAAGGACAATTTTATAACTGTTTTTGTATGTAGCTGTTACATGTAGGGTAATTTGTCCTTAAATAGGGATAAGTTACCAAAAAAAAAAAATGAATCCTAGTTTTCCTTCAAGTCAAGTGTCTTGTTGTTTAAATAAAATTCTTGTTTAAGCCGAAACCGGTTTGGCTCAGTGGATAGAGCGTCGGCTTGCGGACTCAGGGGTCCCAGGTTCGATTCCGGTCAGGGGCATGTGCCTTGGTTGCGGGCACATCCCCAGTGGGGAGTGTGCAGGAGGCAGCTGGTCGATGTTTCTCTCTCATCGATGTTTCTAACTCTCTGTCTCTCTCCTTTCCTCTCTGTAAAAACTCAATAAAATATAATAAAAAAAAATTCTTGTTTAAAATGGAAAAAAAAAATGCTTGAGGAACTGATAAAATCCCCAAAAGACAAAGATATGATGAACAGGAAGAAAAGACCAGTTCAAATCTTCAAGGATATGTTGAAGTGTTCCATACTGCCAAATACCAGAATGATTTAATTTCTGAATAAAAGTGCTCTATGGAGAGAAACCTGAAAAATTACATGTGGCTAAATCTATACATTGTAAGTTTTTATAAACTGGCAATTCTGCACACAAGTATACATGAGTGTGCTCATAAAGAGAGATCGATGTTTCTCACAATACACAGCTAATTAGCATAGCTTCACTCACAACCAATGAAATGAGTGCTTAGGTCCACCAGAGGACTTGTACAATACTGTACATAGCTTTCTCTGTACATAGCTAAAAACTGGAAACATTTCAAATGCCCATCAAGAGTAGAATAGATACATTGTAGTACATACAGACAATGGCATGCTGTAAAACACTGAACAGAAGGAGCTACTGTTTCATGTAACATGGATGACTCACAGACATAATATTGAGAAAAATAAGCCAGATGCAAAAGAATACATACCTTATGGTTTCATTGAAGAAGAGGCAAAGCTAATCTATACTGATAGAGGTCAAATAGTAGGGACCTTTCGGGATATAGTGTTAGGGAAAGGGCAAGAAAGGAGCCTACTGGGACGCTGGAGATACACCTGACCTTGAGGCTGGAAATGGTGGTCACATAACATATAAATATGTAAAAATTCATTGAGCAATTTACAATTAGTGAACTTTACATGTGTTACATATCACTGAAAAATAAAAAGATTATTGCTTGTAGCATTATGGAATGTTTGAGCTATTATCAGCAAATGTTTGAGCAGTTCAAGATCCAGTGGCAACAACTGGCAAATACCATGTTTTAAACAGTGAGCTACTGCTCAAGCTGAGCTGGAGTCGGCTGTGGTTTAGGCTTGCTTCATCCACTTGGCTATCACACTGATATTCATCGTAGGCCTCGATCCACAGTCATTATTTTTGTTGTCACACTGGCAAGAATATCCAGGCAGGGTGGATGACAAGTGTTCAGGTTGACATCTTCCTTATTAATATGCTTTATTTTTTCTCTTTAATTAATATATTACAAAATTTGGCCCTGGCCAGGTGGCTCAATTGGTTGAATCCTCGTCTGGTGCACAAAAAAGTTGGTTAGATTCCCAGTAAGGGCAGGCTGCGGGTTCCATCCCGGGTCAGGGCGCGTGGGGAGGCCACAGATGGATGTTTCTCACGTCACACAGCTCATTAGTGGCATAGCTTCGCTCAAACCCAGATCGGAACCACTACTCTCTCCCAATGAGACCTGCAGTCTAGGAATGGATGGACTAGAGCAGCATGGAGACCTGCGACACCTACCGCTCAGAGCCCGAAACACAGGGTTCAGAATCTCAGGCATAGAACAGGCTGACTCACAACCGAACCAGAAAGAGACCTGCCCAGAAACGGTGACCCCGAGTCCGGGACCGTGGAAAGAGGCCGGCACAATGGAGGAACCCCCTTGATCCCGTGCCCCTCGTACCGAAGGGCTCAGGAGTTGGTGCCCAGGTGGCTCAAAGGTACTGACGGTGGAGAACAGACCCCCAGAGACCCCAGAGCGACGCAAGGGAGAGATTAACGGCCCCGGAGGGCCTCCCGCGGGGGGCGGAGCCTCGAGGTGAGGACGTGGGCGG